CACTTCCTAGCTGAAGGACGAGTCCCGGGTGCTGTGTAACAAAGAAGCTCACTTCACTGGATCATTCATAAGAAGAAAAAATTCACCAACCGACATCAATGAGGATACATATGGAGAAATCGCCATGCTGTGAAAACTTCCTTGATCTACAGCGATATACAGTATACCGTTTATAAACTACAATACCTTTATTATTTACAAAAGTGCCAACCTTTTCTCCCAGAAATTGATATGTGCGTCATATGCNAAAAATGCCTTGTCCACTTTCCTGCTTAACGAAAGATGCATGGCGTCTTACAACGCATTTCCAGGGTTCAATAGCATCGTAACTTCAGGATGCGTCCACTTACGCACGAGACAGGCCGAGAGCGGCCTTCATGACGTGTTCCAGACGTAAGGAAGGAACGCGACACAACAGTTCCTTAGCATCTTTGCCCAGCTCTTCTGAAACGGACTCCGCTTGCCACTGGTGAAGCAGAAACGTGTGCCATGAGGAATTTTACTGCAAAGACTTCGAAAATCTCTCTGTAACATACTTCGTCATCTTCAAAATCTGCAGAAACTTTAGTTTGCTGAGATTTTCGAGATTTAAAGCGAACAAAGACATTTGATGGCAAAATAATATTTCGTTCGTTGTTACTCGTCCACAATGAACGATTCGAATCTGATTGTAAAGGTAATAGTCTGTTGTTCGCCAATCTGCTCCAGCGCATCAGGCCGCAGCAGCTTCGCACACAAACACGGGTGACAAGGGACATCACGTTCAAAAATTCTGGGGACAAAACCCGAAGTTCCGATGAACCATGCTGGATAGTTCGAAAAAGTACAGTAACACTTCAACTATGACGCCAGTAATCTCAGTTGAGTTCGCGAAGTCAATAACAAGGAAGCATCATGCTCATCTTCTCGTCACGAACATAGCTTTAGAAATATTGGTCAAAGAACTTTCACACTCGTAGACCACGGAACATTTCTCCAACTTTGTTTTGGGTTAATGCCGCTTCACCCGGAGACCAGACTCTCGATTTTCACGTTTCCGCGGAAGAATCTTGTTGACTGAATTGGACATTGCATTCTCATCTTCTACGTTTTAGTAGATGTCGCTTGCAGTACGGTCTCAACTATCTTCGAACACATGCCGTTCGGGACTTGAAATTTCGATTCTGCTAGAATTACTGATATGCTGCAGACCTGCAGTAATGTACTCTGTATATAGCTGGTGTATACATACATTGTATCGGGAATAGGAAAATATGATTACAGTATTGTAAGATGGATTTGGAGGACAATTATTTGATTTTGCTTGCGTGTTCAGACTTTCGCTTGCATTGCGCTGTTGTATAATTAATACGTACCAGCAGCATACACAGGCATACTACATACATAAACCTCGTGATCTTCATTTTTTAGAAGCTGCAAATTATTAGGTAAAAACTTATACGTCAGCGTATAAGATACGAATCTTGAAGACATTGAGGTCCCAATATATCGTGGCATTTCTTTAAACCATCAGGTGCAAGTCGTGCAACTCAGCAGCAGGAATGCAAATTATTAGGTAAAAACTTATACGTCAGCGTATAAGATACGAATCTTGAAGACATTGAGGTCCCAATATATCGTGGCATTTCTTTAAACCATCAGGTGCAAGTCGTGCAACTCAGCAGGAAAACGTGAAGGGCGCGTTTCCCGCCAACAGCTGAACATGCAGGTTAATTCGAACATCAGCAGCATATGGTCAGAAATTGTAGATTATTCTTGATACCTTATTCTTCTACCTTGGAACATTTCCTGATGCATGGAGCATTGAACGGATCATCTGCTTGCTAGATTATCGGGGAGGATCACTTCCGGATCATCCAATAGTATATTTCAGGGTCTAAAATCGGCGGGTCATCCACAATGACCGCGCGCGAGCGTGCTGTGATCGATGGTCCTTCTAAATACAAAGCACTGAGTGAATGCTGTGCAAGGTCCAACAGAATATATTTCAGAGATGGGCCAAGCACGCATGATGCTGAGCCTGTGTGAACTTCGTGGCAATATAACCATGTGAGACCTTGACGAGGCGGAAACCCAACAACGAACCCTCGACCTTTCGAAATGTTGCGTATATAGCGCAGCGCGGTTCCAGCGCACTTCCTAGCTGAAGGACGAGTCCCGGGTGCTGTGTAACAAAGAAGCTCACTTCACTGGATCATTCATAAGAAGAAAAAATTCACCAACCGACATCAATGAGGATACATATGGAGAAATCGCCATGCTGTGAAAACTTCCTTGATCTACAGCGATATACAGTATACCGTTTATAAACTACAATACCTTTATTATTTACAAAAGTGCCAACCTTTTCTCCCAGAAATTGATATGTGCGTCATATGCGCTGTTGTACATCAATTTTTCTTTACAATTCTTCAAAATTTTAATGCGCCTATCACAGTCGAATTACAATAGCTTAAGTTCATAAAAATGTATAGAAACTATACGAAAAGTAATACGTACTGTAATATAAATACGTATAGGGTCAAATGAAAGTTGAATTCAATTTCACGAAATCTGGCTTTTGAAGTATATCTACGAAATGTTATGTTCCATATATATACTGTATAAGAAATTGATAGAATCCAAATTCGCATTCAGTTGAATATATTAACTGTACATCATTATATACTTACTGTGAAGTATATTAAATTGAAGATTCCAGGCATACATAGAACTGTCAAAATGTTAGAGACCGTACCGTAAAAAAATAAAAATCCACTGAAAATTGACATGCGTGCTGCATCGTGTCGTAACATATGATTTTTTTTTGTCAAATTTTAAATAAAAAATTGAGGTTTGTATTATTCCCATCAAAATATGGACCATAATTCGTCGACTGAATCCAAGGCTTTCCGCTAAACTCTTTATAACTCAAATCAGACGCATTTGTGCGATTATTTAAGCTACTGTTAAAAATATGCAATGAGAGACTAATTGGGCATGAAAGAGGTTTGCGTGCATTTACCTATTTGACTTATTCAGACCTATAATTCCGAAATTGGGCCTCATCATGAGCAGGCCGGCTTTCTTTCGTGAAGATTCCTGGTTTCCAATATAATAAACCCTGTATATCATAATCCTATTTCGGCCGGGGTATATGTGACAGAGCTATAGTATATATAACGGGCACTGGATCATTAAATGGGCGGAACAGGACATTCCAAGCTCTATATAGACCAATAACCTAACTGAACCTGAACCTGACTCTGACATCCGTGTAGGAACCACCGTTATAAAGGGAAATAAACCATGCATTCCACTTCTGCTGGCAGGTTAATATACTTCTCTGAAAAGTGACGAGGGCCACTCGAAATCCTGGACGACGACAATAATACCGCGGTCAATCCTGTGCTAATAACCAATGTTTTTAAATAATATTCTTTCTTAATTTTTCACAGCCTAGGAAAAATTCTATACTGTAGTTTAAAAAAATCAATCATACATTTTAAGGGTTTTCCTTGACACTTGTTCATCAAGAAAAAATGTGTTACTTGAAGAAATATGGCTGGTCAAAGGCGGTTTTTACTAAGGATATTTGTTGAACTGCTGCAAGCATCAATTGCCCAGCGAGGCGCTACAATGTACTGTACTGTATACTGTATTAGCATTTCAGTACAATAATTAAATATTCCCAATTATTTTGAACCTTCCGTTCCAGTGTGTCAACTGAATTTTGTCTTGAGAACTGGGGGTTTTTGCCAGAGAGGCAGAAGTTCGTTAACCTTGGTCCACTGAACACAGTACAGTAATACACATTAAAAGGAAGGCGTATTGTCATTATGTATTAGGTTGAGAAACAATTTAGTTTTCAAATGCTGAATAAGTTAATTTAACAGTCCAGTGTCAATTAAATTGTAGTGGTAAGTCGGCTGCCTGTTATTATTATTAAGAGATACGCTTTTGTTGTCTTCAGCGCATTATAGAATTATCGCACGAATAATTATAATATTCATTTAGGAAAATCCATCAATCCTGAAAGGTTCATCAATGGATTTCATCATGATCAAAAACGAGTATACTGCTGTATAACTCTCCGTGAAATGCAACTCATATTTATGGCACATGTGAAGCATAAAACAATGCGATTTTAGCCTCAGTTCCGCGCGTATATAGCACTTCATATCCCTTATGATTTTCTGTTTTCCTTTTAATGAGGCGGGTTTATTCAGTCCCATGGTGATTGCGAATCTAATCTGACCGTCGAAGAAATAACAAGGTCAAGAAGAAACATGGTTCAAGTTCCAAATTTATTTCGATTTTTTTAAAGTCAAAGCATCACCGTGACTTCATCTTCGATGCAAGATGGATTACGAAAGCAGTGAGGGATTCATGTATATATGAGTTCCCAAGAACAACAACCTGACCGTCACACAAGCCAGAAGATATTCTGATTCCGCATTCGAGCTTGGAAGACCATCAGAGGCAAGTTTCGCAAAAACTTCAACGATTGCAAAAATCTTATTGATTCTGATTTTTAATGCGGTCGACAAGATGCTGTTGTAAAAAGGGACGGATTTGTCGGATGCGTGACATCGAAGGCAATTATTCTGGCGTTATAATGAAACCATTGATCGACAACTGTCGATAAACCTCACTAGACATGTCGGATGGAGATCTAAAACGTCTGGGCAGGTGTCGCTGCAAAGCAGAGCTTTTTTCTGAGACGGAAGCGGGAATGACTTGAGCTGCCCACGATCTCAATATAAATGCCCTGGCGAGAAGCCGTGCAGTGGACGGCAGAAGCATATCACAAGCACTTGGCTGTCTTGAGTTCCAACGCAAAAAAAAACAAGAACAAAAACTTGGTAGCTGCGGGAATTCAGTCTGAGCAGAACTTCCCAAGATCCTTTTTTGTGGAACGATCGGATCGTCAGTATACCGTTCATCTGAATCATCGCCACCACTTGCGCAGGAGCGATACTGTACTGTATCTTACAAATAACTCCCTGCTGAACGATGCTTCATTCATCGGTCGTCACTGTTGTTGTTGTTGTTGCTGTTGATGCTGCTGCTTCGGTTGGCTTTTCGTGGGGATAGAGGTCCTTGTATGATGGAGGAGGTTGTTCTGGGGCATCACTGCAGACTTCGTTGTAGGAAGGGGGGAGATCGGGGTGCTCGTCATAGACGATCGGGGAGCCCATGAGGGTGGCTCTGGAGGTGCCCAGCAAATCGTGCGACCGCAAACCTCCGCCCACCATTGTGGCTTGGAGGCTGTCACCAGCCAGCGAAGCCACGGCTGGGACCGTGTTTCGGGACTGGCTGTTGCGGACCATGTATGACAGGGCTGCCATAGCAATGGAAACGACTCCCAGCACTGAACACCTGCGAGAGGTAACGAGAAAACATATTATTGCAAAGATGCAGTGAATCATAATTGCTGATGTACATTAACCGAGGGCTGTCCAAGTCAGATGCGGCCATCATGGGCCACATTGCAGAGGTGGAGAGTTCAGGCCGGCCACAATAGACAATATTTTTTGAGATTCTAATAAATTGTTTTCCCCTTTTAATGAAAAGTTTCAAATTTAATTCAGTACTAAGCCTTTTGAATCACAGGCATCGTAACCTTATAGAATTTCTGAATGGTGGTCTGCAATATTTTGAATTTTTAGATTAATCTTTCAATATATATTTTTGAATATAGTGGCAACTGCCACCTCAAAAATCATAGGGAAGGGACTGCAGGGCAGATAAAGAGTACTGTATATCTGTGGGTCGGCGGACGGGTTGGGCAGCACTGCTGTGCAATATTGTGAAGTAAAATAGAGCAATATCACATCCATCCATAAACCATTATTTCATTTACATTTAGAAAGTTTAATTTGAATAATGCCCTGTTCATTGTCTAAATATAAAAGTACAATATTTGAATTGAATATATGAGTATATGACCGCACATATATTTACAATTTTCTGTCTCCACGCATATTTTTATTTGTTTTGTGTGCTGATTGACTCGCTCGTCAGTGAAGTGCTATGTCATGGTTAAACATCTTTAAAAAAAATTGTGCAAAATTGCGATCGGCTATATATTGAACCCGTGATTTTACGAGTGTAATTTCGACAAAACGCACTCAAAAATTGCCTTTCTTTTTAGTAGTCGTCCCTTTGGTGTATTGTTGATGTTTATATCAAACTTTGGGTAAGTTCATATCTACTCTTGTGGGTCGTTTTCATTGAGCAGTCTATACCAGCTTTTTAATGAGTATGTTTCATTAGGGCACAAAACCACGGGGAAACAGGCATCCAGTATAAAAAAAAGTACCTAAATGAAAATATACACTGTACATTAATTTTAATAACAAATAATAAAGTCAGAACCTGTTTCACATCCGTCCTATATATATAGTACGACGATTTTTAAACCCGCAAACCAGTAGCTCTGTGCTTCTCAGCGCAGAGCAGGTTTTTATATTCTCTTTGGCAATAGTGATATAGATATTATTTGCCACTTTTAAGCCTGGGGTACTGTATTTTAAAATCATCAAGTTGCAGTTTCACAGTTATTACATCATCATTTAAAAGCAGCGCTGCATATTTTGATTGATTCGTCAATACATACAGTATTTAAATTACTGTTTTCGTTCTGAAAAATAAAATAAATGCTCCATTTCTTTTTTACATTGTTCAACTTGAGCTAAACCTTTCGAAAATGGGGTCTCATTTCTTGGGACACGATCCTGTTTCCCAACAATGAGCTTTGAAAGATACAATAAGTTCTATATAACGGTCAGATGGAGTAGTGACTGAAAAGACGTGACACATGAGCCACTTTCCGTAGGTTCTCGACTCCTGATAACCAGTGGTATACAGACTATATACACCTATAGTACAGTATAGAGAGCATGACAGTGAATGCAGTGCGCAGATGCACTCACTATACTGGCTGGCTGAGTGACTGAGTGCTGCAAAGGCACAGATCTGGAACAGTGATACGAGAAGTGGTCGACACTGAAGCCTATAACGTTGCATATGAGGCTACGAGAAATCGTCATGTATACGAAGACAGCGCGAGGATAACTTTCCGAGCCTCGAACAAATAAAGGGCCCGCCTCATTGTTTCAAATTTGGCTTGCGCAGGCCCCTTTGTGGTCGACTATTTCTGGACATGTGCCACATACCATTACGTGTCCTAAAAATCTCGAAAGGGACGCGTATACACAGGGCAGCTTTTATGGGAGATGGAGTTCAAAATTACAGGGGAAGTCGACATTGATTCCATCACACTGTTCTTTACGGAAATGACAAATACAGTTGAACCTCGTCTGTAAGTGGAATTTCTAGGGACCGTTTTGATTTCTGGAGGTTTCCAGTTAAGGGAACAAACCCTTTTGTTGCCAGGAGGAGTGAAAAAAGTTGGAAATTATAAATTGGGATATTCTGGGCCTAAACTTGCTCATTAATGAAGTGAGTTTACACCTTGCTAAACTTGGAGGCAGGGGTTCATTTGCTCTATTAGTCTTTCACTTCCTTCCAAGATGCATGAAATAATTTGTTTTAATTATTTTATCTTTTGTTTTTCAAGGAAATAATAACTGAAAGGCCTCAGAAAATTTGAATTAAGGGGGTTTTTAATGCATTGATTCTAAGAATTGAGTCAGGGACTTGAAAAATTTACTCTAGGAGGAATTCGACTTATTGCAGTTCAACTGTAATTATTTGAATTGAAAAGTATAGTCTTAGACTGATTGCCTCAAAATGTACGTGATCGTGCAAATGTCAACGAAGTACGTTATGTTTTTTTTTTTGCTGTTGCTTTCTGAATTAGCTCGTTTATCACTTATTTTCTAAAAATTTTAATGTGGGGATTATACTTGCGCAAAAAATTTCCAGGGACCCATGAAGAATTTTACAAATATGTTCAATGCAAAATAATCCATGAAACAAAATCCGAAATTTTGTTAATGAAATGATTTAGTTCTCACTGAGTAAATAAAAATTGTAAAAACAATTTTCAATCGTTTCCGTATGAATATTGTTCGGAAATCGTTAACATATTTTAACAACAAGATTATTACCATATTTAGTGAATCTCGATGCTGCCTCACATATAAAATGCACTTGAGCTGTTGAAAACGTATCCTTGCATATGATGCACACCCCATTTTTCAGTGGAAAATATTTAAATTTAAAAATGTTCTTAACATTTTCAATTTGTATTTAATAAAAGGATAATCCAACTGTATTTAATGTGCTTATTTTTAATCATTTTGTTGCAACGTGATCGAAGCATAAAGTACAGAAGAATTTTGAAAAATTGAAGGAAAATTTGTACGCAATTTTGAATACTTTGGTTCTAACATTTGGGGGAATGCACGGCGTACTTGAGTAAATATGATAAACAAATGCAGACTTATTTTTTTTAATCGATAAAAGATTAATTTCTTAATATCCAATGTGCATTTATTCTAGGACTGTACAGAGCAAATCAAAGATTTCCAGCAAAATGCTGAAAATAACTTTTTCAACCCTAGGATGAAACCAACAAAAAGTGTTCCCTTAGAAAAATGATATAAGAACCACATATATTCTTATTCAAATAAATTTTACTTTTATTGCGAGTAAAAACCTGTGACATTATACAGCTGATAACAGTATAAATATTGATTTACAATTACTGAATTATTGCTCCCTCCAACGGCAGACTTGACAGCAACATTTATAAATATAATTATTGTGAAGAAAGCTCTAGAAAACCCGGAAGTAAATCAATTTGTTATACTGTAATTAACATTGACAAATTATGATTNAACAGTATAAATATTGATTTACAATTACTGAATTATTGCTCCCTCCAACGGCAGACTTGACAGCAACATTTATAAATATAATTATTGTGAAGAAAGCTCTAGAAAACCCGGAAGTAAATCAATTTGTTATCCTGTAATTAACATTGACAAATTATGATTTTTTTTAAAGATTGTCTCTTTCGTATTTGTTTTCGGGACCTTTGACAGAGAATAATTCGGTATAACTGCTGTATTTCCATTAAGGGGTTTCGAGTTATTTTAGGTATTTAGGACATCACTCTCAACAAAAGGTTCAACTGATATGTGCTGAGTTCTTTCGTACAGTATATCAACATTCAAGCTCCTTTTTTATATACAGTATCTGGAAAAACACTCCGCTGGAGGAGTTCCAGCGTTGGACAGGCACATATAATATACCCACGGAACTGTGAAAATGAATTACCAGCGTGTCACGTTCGCCTGCCTCTGTCCTCATATACGAGGGTTCTAACAAAAGTTCTCGGAGTCGCAATGAAAATGGCCTACAGTTGACCTGAAACAAATTCTATTTAGGGAAAACATATTCTTTGGCCCCCAAAAAAATATCAGCCCTGTTTGACAACTTTTTCTAAATTTTTTTTTCATAATTCACCCTGGTAGAGTTTTACTCTCCACTCAAAAGATGAGGCGCCCATTTTTTGTGGTAGCCCAGCTTTCCCCCCAGAATTTTTAAAATCAGCTTGGCATTCTTTCTAAGAGTTGCCTCCAGGTCATCCAAGGCAATTCCGCCATTTTCATCAAAAGCTGCCTTCACAGCCGCCACATCGGCGGCTGTGAAGGCGGCTGTCAACGAAATTTTTTTTGTTTCAGGTCAACTGTAGGCCATTTTTATTGCTACTCCGAGAATTTTTTTTAGAACCCTCGTACAGTACTGTACTGTACCGTATATGGGAACATGATTTACGTCCCTTATTCACGCCTGCGCGCGGATATATCCCAATTTTAGCTTTGTTTTACTTTTTTCCGGTGCAACACACATCGTGTATATATATAGAGATCAACAGTTAGGACATTCCTGCATCACGGCGGAACGAAGTCATATACTCTGGATATACTGTACTGTATATGAAAGGACATAGACGACTAACCAAGCGTAGGTTGATGGCATGGAACCACCGTACACCCGGTCTTGAGAGCCGAATATCTGGGCCCATTTGAAGCCCTTGTTGCTGGTGAATCCGTCGTGCGGCGGATAGAGGGCGCAGATGCAGGAACGCATGCGCTTGCAGATGAGTTCCGAGCTCTTNATGAAAGGACATAGACGACTAACCAAGCGTAGGTTGATGGCATGGAACCACCGTACACCCGGTCTTGAGAGCCGAATATCTGGGCCCATTTGAAGCCCTTGTTGCTGGTGAATCCGTCGTGCGGCGGATAGAGGGCGCAGATGCAGGAACGCATGCGCTTGCAGATGAGTTCCGAGCTCTTGGAACACGCTGTCCGGGACACGAGGCTACTGCAAGTCACCTCGCCGAAGAGACACATGTTCCCGGCTTTGGCGAGCTCTTCGCAGATGTGGCGGCACGTGTGGCAATGGTAGAAGGTGGCTGCCGTCTCCTTGAAGGTTGGCGGGAAACATGTTCTGACCTGTATAGGATATCACACACATTAATGAAGCACGCATATATAGAGTACTGTAACTACAGTCAACCCATGCTGGCTAACGGACTTATTCCCGCCCAAGGAATTTTGGCCCAACAGACTGCGCCTCTGGATGAGGCAGTTTTTCCTCCTGTCTTAGGGACAAAATCCACCTAATATCCTTCTGTTCAATTAAAATTATTGGTAAAAAGTCAAAATTTAATATTTCAATAATTGAATTTGCGTAACAGACTTTTCACACAACAGACTAGTTTGTTGCACAAATTAAGTCCATTGTACCAGGTTGACTGTACATTAAGACACATTTTCCATTTTATTTGTTTCATTCTGATCTGCTGGAATGTGTTTGAATGATGTGCATGAAGAGGGGAGAGTTTGGATGATGGGATGAGGGAAATTTTTTTTAACCTTGCGAATGCTGACAAGCAGCAAATGAAGCTTGTTTTTCTATCTATCCATCTGTTTTGTAAGAAAAAGCAGGGGAGAATTACAGAGTAAAATCTCTTTACAAAAAATATGATCACAACAAACTTGTCAGTATAACACAATTTTTCTCAAGTACAGAGGAAAGCTGCTATATACTACATGTCAATAAATTGCATTACAAAAAATGTTCCAATTTCAGTAGAACAAACTTTTTGAGGACTGTTCAATACATTCTCCACTTTGACATTTTTTGGACTAAGACAGGTACAGTCTGAAATTTCCAATCAAGTGGTTTCACACTTCATCCTCCCAGAATGAAGATAATTTAGAGATTGGTTCAACTGATGCAATGAATGATTGAAGCTATTTTTTTCCTGAAAATTACTCAGTTTTTCAAACAATAATAAAAAATCTGAGAATGCCAGAAAAGTAATAGATGTAATGGATTCTACAATGATTTACTCAATCTACTGATTTTTTGAGGTCCCACAGGGTTTATTCCCTATGTTGTAGGGATTCACTATGTACTGACTATACATTCACATAAATTGTTCGTTTCTCAGCTTGGAATTGTGAACTTATTATTTATTAGGAAATTGAATCAATTCTGACACCTTCTTGTTCTTTAATTGATGGGTTTCACAAGTTTTAGAGACAAGAATAAAAAAAACTATACTATACCCTTCATCCCTCATTTCCTCGAATTTTCAGCAAAAGAATCTAAGTGTAAATCCACAATGCGCTGAAATTACACAGTTTTAAGCTGACAAAGCTCGTTATGAGTCACTTTTTTCCACCTAAAAAATTTCGAAATGCAAGATTTATTCCGTGCTGGTCTTTTGTAATGCGGGGACCCAATTGCATTTTTTTTCGCGCGTTTTACCAATTTCAAAAAATTCTAAGATATGATCCAGCATCTTGTTATTTTTTTCAGTTAAGCATATCATTTAGAAAATCAACAGGAAAAAGGAAATGACATACACTCGCCCAATTAGTCCCTTACTTCCTTTAGAGAACCATTTAATTGCATTTGTATTCCCCCACCATTTCCTTGATCCGCAGAATAATGGCCTAAATACAAAAAATGAATTTGAATTGCTGTGGGTTCCCCGCATAGCGAAAATAACCCATGCATGTGTATGCGTTTTATGCGGAATCTTCGAAATACAAAACCCAGTATTTCTTATACAGTACTATTTACAGGATACAATGAAAATTACTTAATTCGTTCCAGACACTCACAAAAGATCATGATCAACCTGTAGAATGCAGTTTTCTACTATTTTTCATCACGAAATTTTGAAATAAAAATGAATTAGGATTAAATTCAAGTAATTCTGGTATACTTGTGTGCACTTAAATTTCGAAATAGAATTTTCGTAAAGCAAAAAGAGGCAGAGCTATGCCTTTTTTGGCATTTTCCTTGGTTCTTTTTCTTTGCGGAAATATAATAAAGTCCAAGCCCAAAGCTTGCTAAATTTTCATTTTTAGGCTAAACGATTTTGTTTTGTGAAACATTTTTCTAATATGAGTCACTTCTCCTCGCCCTACAAAATATATACTTGCATACAAACATATGCTTGAATAGATGCATATACAGTAAAGTACTGATGAACCCAATTATTCCAATATCACTGAAACTTTTTAAATTTTATTTGTGTTGAAACATTTGCTGGATTGAGATTACCCACGAACGATTTTTTCTTATTTCTTCAAAAAATGAGGCTTTTGTATCAAGATATTTTCTTCCAGAGAAAAAATTTGTGGTGAGATTTTTTTTGTTATGCGGCTCTTCTGTTATATGCGGGGACTCACTGTATACAGTTATGAAGGTGTGGGGTAGCTTTCAGATCAGCAAGATCTGCAATATTGTTTTTGCAGATATTCAGACAGGGAGAAAACCATTATTGACACAGGGATGTTTTTACTTTTTGATGATGTTTCAGTTTGCAAGGTGGGTTAAACTGTACAGTATACAGTAAGCAAGATCTGCAATATTGTTTTTGCAGATATTCAGACAGGGAGAAAACCATTATTGACACAGGGATGTTTTTACTTTTTGATGATGTTTCAGTTTGCAAGGTGGGTTAAACTGTACAGTATACAGTGAGACCCCAACATATGGACAATTCCACTTGAAAAAAAAAAAAAAAAATCAGGCCCAACATCTGGACATCGGCTCAAGTCAGGGACACTTTTCTGACATTTTCCCAAAAATTGAAACCATTTTAATTTTTAAATTTTGATATCTTTTGAAAAATGAAGCTATTTATATTCAAAAAATTGAAAAAGTATTTCTAATTCATAATCAAAAGGAAGCTGATTTTGTGCTTCTTTTTCACGGTTTTTGTTCCATCAACTGTGCATATTCTAGCAAGACTTATTTTTTTATTTTGCTTTTTGATTTCCTTTTGATGTCTAAAGATCAGATTCTATGTGGTTTTTGTTCTGCACTGTTGTTTTCTACTACTTGAAGTTGAGGGAAACAATTTTCATTACATTTTTTGAGGACTTCTTTCTAATTTTTAACAGAAAGGAGAACCAATTAAATACATTAGCATTGAAGTCCGAGGGAAAATTAAACTCGACTTTTGAGGACATTCCAACATCAGGACGCTCTTGATGCATCAATTACGTCTGCATCTTGGGGTCTCACTGTAATTAAACACGATATTCAATCAGCAGGGATATTGCAGCAGAAAATAAAGCCACCACGTGAATCAGAATAATGGGCCCCCAGCTAAAACACACACACACCTGGGCAGCAGGTTTAATATCATCGCCGTCAGGTGCGGGCACGGTAGAAACGTCATCTGGCCAGGCCACGGAGGATGAAGCAGCTGGGGACTCTCCTTTCTGGGGCCCGGGTTCTCCGAACAGCTCTTGGGTCACGGGCACCAGCACTCCTGCTCGCGCCCCGGTGCCCCACGGCCAACACGCCAACAACCAGAACGCGACATTCAGGCACATGTACAAGAACTTTGGGAAATCGCTTTGCATCTCTGCCCATGCAGCAAAGACGAATACAACCTTATGTTATCGCGACGCGGAGGCGCGGCAAGCTCCTCTCACACGGAGGACTCTTTCACACGCAGCCTGAAAAATAAAATTTAAATTTAAAGAATAAGGTTGAACGAGATAAAATGTAAAAAAAAGAAGCGTTCGTAAATTCGTCATTGAGGAAATGTTGCCCCCTTATTCTTGCGGTCAAGCGCTTCGTCCTCGTCGTTTCTTTTCTTCATTTAAATTATGTATCATCACTTGATTAAGCTAGCAGCTTATTGAGGGAACCTTACTCAGAAAAATATTTGCACGATGCTGTTTTGCTTTCAATATTTGCGAGTGCTTCACTGAAACTTCCGCAGGAATTTTGAAGATGCATGAAAAATCAATTGAATGAGTAGATGTCTCTGCAAATTGATTCTTCTCCTTTTCAAAATTTATTTCTTTTAAAGTAGAAACTTTATTTTTCCTCCCAAAATATTTAAAATCTCACAATGTTTGAAGCAGTGCCTGATAAATAAAACTCCAAAATTTAAATCAATTTAAACAGTTTTAAAGCAGTTAAAAGTGTGTTTTGTGGTGATTTGTAATTTGTCAGTTTTACAATTCGTCATCCAAAAATTCTGAAATTTTGAAACACTGCATTGTCATCAAGGTTTAACAAGTGTGAAAAATGTCAGCAAAATTGGACATTTGAAAGTGGGTTGAATTTCAGTTGCAATCTTTGATAAATCTGGATACCCCTTAGACAGATAAACATACCCAAGTTCGAGTTGAGTAAAAGTTTATAAAAACACTTCAAGCATATACAGTAAAAAGTTTCTTTTTATTTATACATACTGTATCGAGTTTTTTGTGTAAATTCCGGATGATGCGTAGATTTACAGCTTGGGTTACAATAAGAACCTACAACCCAAATATTTTGCAAGGGACAAAATATGCTGCTCGAATATATGCCTATATACAGCAATGGTTTTAACCCCATCATTCGAAACTAACATTGGGATTTTCAAAATTTATTTCTGCCGAAAAACGTGTTGGATCGAGATTACCCACAATTTTTTTTTCTTAGTTCTTCAAATGAGAGGCTCGTTTATGAAGACATTTTCTTCAACAACAAAAAACTTATTAATATTCAATGTTAGCAGATAAAATGCTGTTACTGTTAAATTCTTTGCAAAAATTATTCTTCGCAAGAACATTTTTCAAACTTCATCTCAGGAACTTCAAAGAATCAATTTTTTATTTAATCGGATTTAGCTCATCATATAAACACTTCTCGAGGTTCACTATGAAAAATAAACAATTGACGATTTTCCAGTTTTGCTGAACATTTTTCCAGGATTTCCGCCAAATTTTTCTTAAAAATGAGAAAATGAATTCCAAATTGTATGCAGTCATCTTGAGGCATAGAATTATGTTTTTCCTTGCATAAAAAATCCAAGGGTCCCTAGAAGTTTACTGTAGCGGGTTTCAAGTGCAATGGTTCACTGGCCACTCGGCCCACATCAACACAATTATGCATGCAAAGTTCTAAATCGAAAATGTTTCTCGAGAGAAGATTTAAAGATTCAAGAGAAGAGATAATTTCCTTAGGCGTCATCGAGTCATGAGACAATTCTACTGATGCATCATATGCTTTACGGCTCGGCACACCTTTGTGTCATTGTGATGGACTGGCGTGAAGAACCTCTCAGGTATAGAAAGGTGATTCACTTGCTAGTAATTTGAACTTTTTCAAGTACTGCGTGTTACAAGTGCTTTATTCAAAGAAAAAATCTTCGGATAACGTGAGAAAATTTTCTCGGATTTACAATGCAATATAGTACCTTTTAGTATCAACAGTATTAATGTCTTCACAATTTTCGAGATTTTGGGGGAAAAGGAATTGGGATGGAATTTCATCCGGGAATGCAGTTATTGTGCAGAATCAAAAATCATGAACGCATCAACAATCGATATTTCAAAAAAGTTGTATTTTTCAATCACTAATTTAATTGCTGTCATCGAAAATAGGCCGTTTTCGAATCCGAAAACATTTGCAACATCACATGCAGAAATATTTCGATGGCAAAAGAAGCCAATGGAAAATAAGTGATATCATAACTGGCAACTTTCGAGAAAACTAATGAGTATGATCACTCTAGAAATATTTTACACGTTCGTCAGGCGTCGATTATTTGCGTCTGGCCCTTTCCAGAAAAACAAGGCGAAGCGCCACAATCGTACAGAATTCGCATTGAAAAGGAAAAAATATATAAACATAAACCTTTCTTTTTGCACGTGGCAGAAAATTGCAGCGGCTTGTCTGTGGCCAGGTTGGCCCATTAAAATCTGGGCATGGGTTATACTGTACAAGAGTAAGCCGATTGTTTATGCGGAAGATCATCTTCATTCGGACTTGGTCAATTTGAAATTTGCTTATTGATGACATCTAGGAGAACAGAATGATTATAATGGTTGACATAATGATGGTTCGTGTCCACTGCACCATTTATCGACCCCTGACTTTGTAATAATGGTACATGGGGGGGGGGGGGGGGTAACAGTTGTATATGATTAAATAAATGCCTTATCCTTGCTTTTCTGTCATTGAATGTGTGCCCATTTTCTGAAAATGGGGTATAATAAATGCCTGCTGAGTGCTGTTTTTTTTCAGACCCAGACAGTTGCTCATTTCCTGCCTTTGTTCATTTACCCATGCAACCGTAGTAAATGAATAATACTGTACAATGGGGCCTTGAGCATCAAATGCCCGGGGGAACAAACAACTAACATAAAAAATCTGGATTTCGCTGTCATTTTTCCTCATGAAATAAATTTCACTTAAGGAATAAAGCTCAAGTCAAGAAGAAAATCTTTTTTTTTCTAAATTAAAAATTAAGAACCTTTCACTGTTCCGCGAGACTCCATTTCCAAAAGGGAATAAACATAAATAAATTTGAAGCTATACTCTTCCTTTAATTTTCTATGAAATTTGAATATATTTGTTTCTCTAATGTTGCAGTTATTGCCAATCAATCATTTTCTATTGGGGAAAATTGCTATTGGCTAATGTTTCTTCATGTTCTTGTGTCTGAATTTTTCTGTATTTTCACTTCCCTTTTATTTTACTATGGCAAAAATTAAATCTGCCTCAGGCAAAAAATGCCTTGTGTAACAAACCAACCACTGGAACAAATTATATTGTTTTCAAAGCCCCACTGTACCTTCAATAATTGGAGCAATTTCCTCCGCCTCATGCAAGATATTCATGTTTGAATGCAATGTACAAAATTTACTTGAGTACCACGCACCCTCAAGTAAGGCCCGCACAGGGGTTTTTCAGTTGGAAATTTGGCTAAAATCTTATACCCAAGTAAGACGTGCACCCCAATTTTAGTGAATCTAAACCCTAAAAATTTCAAAAATAAATTCAAAAAATATGACTTTAGACATGAATTGAACAAAAATTGGATCAATTTTCAACTTTTTCAGTACAACAAGTTTTCTTGTCACATTGTTTGAAATTTCTCCTTTATAATTAAGTACTGTATAATGCACACATAACTTCCTAAAACTTCTTTTAAAAATGTGTACCTGCTTATGACGCGCACCCCTTTTTTCTTCTAAAATTTGAGAAAAAAGGTGCGCGTGGTACTCAAGTAGATACAGTATGTGGCATCTATTTCGTAAAAATCAATTTAAAATTGACGCCTGAAGTATGAGGAATTTCAGTTTTCAGGACAGAATAAAAGCAGTGATATCATCAAATATAGTCTATAGAAGCAAAGAAGACTCCACCAGTTTAATCAATAACGTTATCCTCGACCAACAGGGTTGAATGCTCTCAAGTCCGCTTAGGCTCACCCTGTGATACAGACTTGATATTGGTACGGTTGAATTGACATTTCACTTGTCAAGCCGAGTATAATTACAGTTTGCATAGATTTAAAAACAGTACTTGGCAACACTAA